TGCTGTTATCATCAAGCCTTGAAACTGACTTCCAGCTAATGACCCAAATAATCCTTACTTGAAATTGTATAATTGAGATCGAAGGCTGGCTGGGGCTTCTAGCTGGTACACAGATTCCACATCCATGAGCTTTTGAGTATGGTCATTGAGCTGAAATGGAGAAGGTTAAAACTCTCATTTTCATTACCAAGCTCCCCCCATCTCCCAATACAAATGTGACATTTCAATTTTACACAGTCCAACTCTTCTTAAATCATCTGTATAAAAACTTCAGATCTTGATTGATGATGGATGAGCTATTGTCTCCTAAAGCACCCAGTTCTCATTACCCTTTAAGACATAGCCTATTAATGATGGACCTCAAGTGCTTTCCCAGTGGGTCATCAGCAATTAACTGTGCTAAGAGATCAAAAGACTTGGTTTGGCATGAAATTTCCAGGCCAAAGCCATTTTCGGATAATGCATTGAGCATCTTGGGTGAAATATAACAGTGTTTTGAGAGTGGTACAGTATCTGACAACAGATTCCCATCACCTGGGTGATGGTGGTGAAGATGCAGCACTGACAGCATGCGAATATGCTTTAGTTCTAATGGAGGCTAACCTTGGAAATTAAAGTATCATCAACATGCATTATATACTACTTATGTGCAGAGTATACCTCTATATGGTGTACTGTAAAAGACAGCTGTTTCCTTAGCAGACAGTCAGCTTGGAAGGTGTAAGATACCTTCTGTTTAGCTTTTGAAGTGGTTACAGTGGACATGCCAAACAGTTTCTCCTGATTAACTCCTTCCCCTTTCTCTGCCCACTTCAGAACTAGTTCTTTTCCCTCTCGCTGTGCATTCTTCCAGTTCATTGTGCCAGTTGGCTTTATAGTGCCAGAGAAGAGCTTTTAATTTGCAAACCTGAACAGCAATAGCAATTTTATAACCAATTTTATAATGATTTTAAAACCAGATTCTAATGCTAGATAGGTGCCTACAGCCCTCACTGCATATCAACACACAAGTTACTTGCACTTCAGGATGTGTCGCAGAATGTGAACATGTTTTGCTAATTTAATCCATGTTAGAAAAAAATACATATTTCAGAAATAATAGATAACAGACCGTGAGGGATTACACTGTACACAAGAAAAAGTCAGCTGGAGAAAATGCCCTTTTAACAGATGGATGAAGAAGAATTCTTTCCATCTCCAGTCTGAACAGATAGCACTCTTGCAGAGCTAGTGTTCCTTTGCCTTATTTACAGTGAGTTTAAGCTTCTGGTGGCTGCTGACACAGTTTCATTGACTTCAGTCAAACTCGTTCTGTTAGAACAGATGCTATGAATTTACCACCTTTTTGAACTTAGCAGACTAAGTATAAATTGTGTGTAATGTACCTATCTGTGCTCTGTGGTGCTTGTATAGACCTTGATCAAGTAAGATACCTGACAGACCTGTATGCTTCCATTTCTCCTGTTAGTATTGTAAGTATTATATGGTAGGTAACCAAAGTTATGTGGTAATGGTTCTGCTTCGTCACTGGGCTAATGGAAGCAAGAAAATAGCAGGTATAACGGATAATACATTTCTGATTTAGCTTCCTGAATAAATAACCATTTAATAGAATTTTAATAATATGCAGGTATAAGTTCCCTACAATCATTTGGCAACAATAAGCAAAATAATGACAGAAGTCAGTGGCGAGTGCACTTGCTGATTTATTTTCATATAACTTTAGTTACAGAATTATACTGCTTTTAAGCCAGTAAAGTAGCTCTAATAAGGAAGATTATAAGATTTTGCATTCACTTCAGAATCAAGCAGCAAAATACCTTGGAACTACTTCTTTGCTCAGAACACCAGCTGCAGCCCTGCTGCCAAAATGGGAGATCTTGGTACTCTTAAGGGTGGCCACCAGTACCTTACAGCAACGCCTCCAAAATTGTCCGACACCTTTAGGAACTCTTTTCCCAGTGAAAGTTAGTGGGACTTGTGCTTCAAAACCTCCTTTTGTAATTCTCTATCCCTGAGCAGTGTAGAAGTCCAAGGGTAATGTTTGCTGCCAGCGTGGTGCAGTAGGTATTTCAGTCAGCAGTTGATAGAGCTGAGTGCTCTGCCTCCCGTACCAGGCAGAAGTGTTGTATTTAGACCAACAATTCTCCAATGTCACGAAAAATTGTTTTGGAAGACAAAAATATTCTCCCCAAAATGGCATTTAAAATACATTCCACTGTGAGCAGTCCTTTTTAGCACTTCTTTGGCAGCAACTAGCTTCTTTATTTGCAGTAGAAATCACAGAATTCCCTAGGGGACTTGTCATTCTCTTTCCTGCTCCAGCTTCGGAGAGAGTTGAGCAAAGAGGGACCTCAGGTGTTGCATGCAGGACAAGAAACCTCTTTCTGCCTGGTTTCCTTTGCTAGCTCGTCTGCATAGGCAGAGATGCCTGCCTCACTCCTCCTGTCTATTGTTTATCTCTCACTTTCAGTGCTGTAAATTAAAATGAGATGATGACTTTATGATGATGAGTTCATTATACAGTAACTCTATTGTATATTGATTACACTTGTGCTTCATTTGCTTAACATGGAACAGGGTTTATTAGTTCTTTCCAGGCATTGTTCTTGCTAAGAGAGGGCAGAGAAGTGCAAAACTCATTTGAGTTTAAGACAGTGAAGCCAATGCATCTGTGCTGATTTACACATGGGGAGGACTCAGCATGAAGGAAAGTAGGACAGCAGGTTGGAACGGGAAGGTAGAAAGGAAATGAATCTGAATCCCACAGAGCAGGAAGAGTCAAAACCAAGTACTTCAAAGATTGTACTAAACTTTGAACTCAGGGTTATTTAATATCTGTAAAAGCCCATCTGATATTATTACACAGGTTTGTTAGCGCCTCACCGCATAAATAGACCTGTAAACTTTAATCCTTTCACCTGTGAAAAATGGTACAGTGCAGGGAAAATAAAGATACTGCATCATGGTTTTAGGGAAGGGCAGCAGGAAAAATGCTTTATTACTCAGTGATGAAGGAAGTCAGAGCATTTTCCATGTTTGCTTTTAGAAAATTACAGGGAAAGCTGTCAGTTTTCCTTACAGTACAGAAGGGACATTTTCTCGTTACTTTCATGCTGAAAAAAGGCTTTCTCCACAAATTGAAAATATCAGAATTATTTTTAGAGTGAGGTGCTGCCTGCTATACAAGAATGCATCAAATTTCCTATCAGAAAAGAAAATTTGTTAGGTATTGTCCTGAGTGAATGCTCTACAAACCAGAAATTATGCCAGTGGCAGGTGTTCAAATGTACCGATAGTGACACTATTTGGAATTGTGTGCAAGTGTTTAAAAAGCTATGAATGTGGATTTTATAGTTATTCATGTCTTGTTATTTTTAATCTACATTTGGGCCATAATGAATTAGGTAATCCTGTATAGCTGGAACAACTGAGAGGAGTCATCACTCGTCATGTTTTCAAGTGGTCTTCTAAGTCCCACTGTTTCCCCAGATCAGAATTGCTAACAGACGCTGTATGGGTTTTTTCAGGGATCATAAGAATATCATACAGACACGTCATTGCCATATCTCTAATCTGGACTCTTCTCTGTATAAGATTATTATTATTATTATTATTGTTTTCATTTTTAAGCCACTTTTCAATGAAAAGCCAAGCTTTTAAGCTGAAGGTTTCTAAGAAATAGTTATACTATGAACTGATTAATAAGGTGGAAAGATGTATTTACAGATGATCCTTTAATACGTTATTTTCTTGGGGGCTACCTCCCCTACATACTGTGGCCTGTAAACACTGAAATTTTGTAACAAATACACGGTAATTCCTTCCTTGTTATTTGTCAACATTAGCATTCCCACTATAGCTTTGAAAGGTTTTCTTGGGAGATGAGGACTATTGGAGAACCTTAATCATTGCTGCCATAGTCAAGATTTAATGTCTCTGAGAAGTGTGACGCTCCTGACTGTATAGCACCACTTCATGTCATTTTAAGGTGCCATTAGCAACTAACCTTCAACATTTCTTTGCTGAGGCTTGAATCTCTGACACTAAGCGATGCAGGAGGTTTTAGCTGTATAGCTCCTGTTAACTTTAATGAAAGTCAGATGGATTGTCCTCTGCTTTAGAAATATGAGAGCCAGGTTAAGTAGAGAAATTGTGAATCCAAACAAGAGTTTAGAGGGTAAAAAAACCAAGTTGTTGCTCCAGAGGAAACCCTGGTGCTACAACCAGCAGCTGTAAGATCATTTTCATGTTGAGATTTGACAAATCAAGTCTCTAGAGACAGAGTAACAAGCTATTTTTTGAAACAAACTGATATAAACATGAAAATAAAATAAAAAAAAAATAAAACCCCAACTTTCATCTGCTCAGAAACCATCTCCCTTCAACACAAAGCTTCCAGCAAGGCATGTCAGTGGTAGTTTTGGATCATAGTATTTGAGATTTGGATCACAGATACTGAGTACTTGAGTATTCTGGATCATGGTATTACAGCAGCACAGTCTGACCAGAAAACATACTTTTCGAGACATCAGGATGACTGGACCCTTCTCATGTAGTGTGGTCTCAGGAAATTCCTACCCCAGTGGAGCACATTAGTTGATTGTATGTTTTAAGTGCTCATACATATTAATGAAACACAGCATAGTGTGGTTAATTGCTTGCATTTTTAAAGTCAGTTAAATCTTGAAGGTTATTTTACCCACAAATAACAGTACTGTTCCATACATGGTTACGCTGAAACAACAGGTAAACCCAGTAACTCATCTAGCAGCTGTGTGGCTGTCTTCATCAGGTTTCTTCTGCATATAAATAAATGCTTCTTGTTTACAAATACTGTAAGCCATTTGCCCTCCAGTTTGCAGAGTAGTGAGATTACAGTGAGAATTTTTTGCATTTAAATTTCATGCCCTCTCTCTCCAGTACACAAAGCAGCGATAGATTTGATCAGCTGTATGTCTAAAGTCTTAACAAGTATGTTCTCTTGTTCTTTTATGCAGAAATACTGAATGGAGGGGTGTATGTTGGCCAGAACAAATTTCTTTGCTTCGCAGACACCATTCATTGGCAGGACATCGTCCGTAACCCCTGGGCCTCCAACTTCACTTTGGTTCCAACGAATGGCAGCTCAGGATGTAAGTACCAGGTTTATTCTGAGCCTTGTCATCCACTCAGTATGAAACAATATAAATATGACCACAAGTTTTCCCTGATCCCCTGTTACCCTGTAAATTTTCCCTGCATTCTTCACTGCATGCTTCAGAGTTTGTATGCTGCTTGTAGGAACACTTAAACTAATTTTAAAACCACTGTCTGTAGAGAGTATTTGTGAACATCATACATTTTCTGAATTTTCTCTCGTCTGTGTTTTCTTTTCTGCATATTCTTTTTTCTTCCTATTTATTGCTAAAGCCAGTGTGCTGCCGTGGAAGCACAGACATTATTGTTTGCTCTGCATTTGTTCCTGCTGCTCAGGCTGGTCCTTGAGTCAAAATGGTCGGTCTGTGGAATCATAATTTGCTGCTGGTGTAATTATGGTATGAGCTCATGGATATTCTGACTTTAGATGAGAAATGAACCTCAAAAGTAATAGTTATCCTGTTGCCTTGTGTGTGTCTGCAGAGAAAGAGAGAATTTGCAGAGGATGGGGTGCACAATATAGCCAATGTTTGTCTGTTTTTTATATGTTCTCTGTATTTAATGTTCTCACTTTCAAACTTGGAGTATCTATGTACTCTGATTAATTTGTTTGATCCATTTCTCTTATCTCTCTTCCCTGGAGTTATTTACCTTCAGTAGTGTTTTGATGATTCTCGCAGCAATAATGAATTCTAGTGAACGGTGGTGACAGTGATACAAAGTGTTTAGGTAAAATATTTCATAATATAGTAAAGTGCATTCAAAATTAATAACTTGTTATTAAACACTACTCTTAAGACGTATCAACATTGAAATTCAGGTACAGGTCGGGAAGAAGTTTATGTCTGATGTCAGAATTGACACCACAGCAGACATACTGTTCTGAGCATTCCGGCTATAGGGACATTCTGGATTGCTTACCATATCCTAAGGTGTCCCCCAAGGATATATAAATGACTGACTCTTTAGCTTTTGCTACAACCAAGAAACGACTTCAGTTCTTCAGTTGTATCTTAGGAATTCATAAAAAAAAGGAGAAATCAGACTCTGGGTAAAAGCCAATTGATGAGTCCCTGTAATTTCATAAGGAACAACTTGTTTTTAATCAAGTGCTTTGTGGTATAATAAATTTTGTATAAGGCTGGCTTGCTTATTTATCTCACCTGCTACCCTCAAAAGCAGAGCACAACTACTTGAGATACGACTTCCTCCGGGAGCCTGCCAAACTCCACTGCTCCATGATCTTCCAACTCTGGAGCTGAGGCTCCTCTCTTCTGCCTTCTGGCTGGAAGCCTGACATAGTTCTAATGCAGCCAGCTATCTTATTTGCATATTAAAAAACCTCATCACTGGTGATGATCAGTTCTAAGAAGAGCTGATAAAAACTTTGAAGGTTAGGGAATGCCTGCACCCATTTATGAGCCATTACTTCAACAAGAGAAAGGCTTGGTTGTTACTCTGTTTTGTTCTGTTCTTGCATTTTCTTTTAAGGTTTGGCAGTTCTTCAAGACAAATGTTTCTGCCACACCAAGGTAATAAGCCCCTTTAAAAAAGCAACCGACATCAATAGTATCTTTTGGAGCTTGCGGAAGTTTTACTGGTGACTCCAGAGGAATCAGAACAAGATCAGTGTTGAGTAGTTTTGGAATCACACCCTGAAAGTAATAAAGGCAAATATTAGGTCCCACAGCAAGATCAAAGAATGTATGTACCTAAGTCCAGTTTTCTTAAAACATTTTTGCATTCCTTTAGAATTGTTTTAAAACATAGAGAAGGAACAATTTGTGCTTTGCCATTTGTGCTTGATAAACCTGAAAAACAACATCATTTCAATGATGATTGAGAGCTAGGTACCAAGGCAGCTTCATTAAGATAGTCACCCAAATTTTGCTTTATTTTTCCTTAATTGAAATGGAGCAGAGTGCAGTTGGGCTGTATTTAATTTAATAAACATAAGTCCCCTTCTACAGGAAGCTGAATTCCATCTCAATACTGTTCATGAGTCCTGTGAAATTTGATTGAAATAGCTAATCCAAACCATTTCTGTCTTCGCAACTTGCATAGGTGAAAATCTAAACCCCATTATACAGAAAGCTAACAAATGGGTAAAATGGTTTAACAGGGGTATTAACGCTGTGGAAAACAAAGAATTCAGGTACAGAAGTCACTATTTAACATAGCTCTGTGTGTGTGTGCACGTGTTATGCACACGCGGGGGGTGGGGGTGTGTGTATGTGTATATATATATATATATATATATAAAGCCTTCAAATGAAATCACCTATATGTTAAACCTTATTACTACCTGTCAAGAGGTAGGAGAAAGGGAATGTGCTACACTGGTGGTTTACAAAAGAATTAAGACAAATTATTTGTACTGGTGCAGAAAGGACTTGGAGAAATGAATACTGAATTATAACCCTAGAATGGAAATCAGTATAGAGTATCATTAAATAAGGTATATGCTTCTCAAATTTGGCTCACATGTCACTTTTCATAATCTGCTAGTCAGTGTGGGTGCTTGCTGGGCCCAGCTTTGCTATTTTTCCACTGCTGTAAATGATGCTCAGTGTAATACAAAGTCTTTGGTACTTTTCTGCATAGACTGTGACTCATGTTTTTTTGGATCTAGCATATCTATATATTTACTGTTTATTTTGCATGACTGTATTAAATTGGCTGAAGTCTCAGGTGTCTCCTATCAAATGTAAATCTTGGCTAAGTCCATTGGAACTGAGTGAGTACACGTTGCTTGGCATTACTGAGAATATCCTAAGGGCAAGAAATGTCAAGGAAAGCCCTCTGTGACTTTCCATGTCAGAATATCTTGAAAAGAGTGAGTGGGGTTTACTGCTTATCTAAAAACTTTTACAGGAGAGGTAGGAGGTCTGTCAGAGAGGCTGCATCAATCTGGGAATGTTAACCATTGAAACCTTTTGTGTCAAACTCAACAAAGTCCGTACTAGTAGTAACTTAGAAAAGTCTGGGTGAATGTGTGATCATGTAAGACTTAGTTAAGTAAATGCATTGGCCTGTGCGCCGTGTTTAGCCATGACTGGCAGGACTGGAGGGTAGCTTATGTCCCAGGAATTGTTAGGGCTGTTTCGCTGTGACCACCTTGGTAGTGCTCCCTGGCAGAGAGTATTTCAGGGACAAAAGGCTGTGAACTGCCATGAGTGTCAGAATCAGATACTTCACCATTCCAGCAGGTCCTAAAGCCTAGAGCACAGTTTGGTGTTTGGGCATTGCTCGCAGACATCAAATCCCCCACAAGGTATCTGCATGTCTGAAAGAACAAGGGCCCACGTTCAGAGAAGAGCCCAACGCTTGCCTGGCTTTTGCCGATGCCAGAGTGGACTCCAGCAGGTCGATACAAAGGCGCTGCCGTACCGGGAGCCCCTGCGCATCAGCCTGTGTGTGCGCTCAGGGCTCAGCCCTGCTCCTTGTTCATCTTCCCCCGCAAGGGAGCTGACACTGTGAGCTGCCCATGCCGCTCTCTTCCCCAGCCAGACAGAAGAGCTGATAATGGTCCCACTTCAGGGATAATTTCACTTGCAACCCTCCCTGCTGCTCCGAGGCAATCAGCAGAGGAGGAAGACAAAAGGGCGGAGTGAAATGAAGATGCTTTGAAATAAAATCAGTCCCCTGCCTCTGTGCTTGTTTCATACCTTGGATTTGCCAACTCTGGCAATCCCCTTCATTTACATCAGTGCTAGACAGAAGAGAATATGGCAAATAACTCTGGGAATAAAGCTTTTCTGATTCCCTTCTTCGCAGGCTTTCATTGTCAAATCACTGTTAAGAAGCCAGTTGAAAAGGCCATGGTGTCTTAACCACTATGATAGAAATACTGCAGACATATGAATCCTAAGTGCTGCTTCTCCTTTTTTCTTTTTCTTTAACCTGAAATGCATTCTATCCATTGCTTCATGTTCTGATCAAATGCATGCAGAAAAGCTCATGTTAGAGGCCTTTGAATTACACGGTCTTACTGTTAAGATGAATACAGGCGGTGGCTGCTGGTGCAGAGCTCAGCGTGTACTGATGAAATGTAATAAACATATGTTGTACCAGGGACCATACATACTTCAACTCTCCGAGGACAGATACCTCTGTGCCTGGCATTTTGACTCGTACGTTGAAATAATGCTAGTATTTACTGTTTGCAGAGCCTTCTCATACTGGTATCTTAGAGCTGAAGCTTTTACAATTAATTGTAACTTGAAATCAGCCTTCTCTTTCATTTACCTGGTATCAACACTATCAGCCTGGGGTATTTAGTCTGGACACCCTGTAGTGGGAATCTCAAAAGTGCTTAATTGTCGAAGGAACAAAATTTTCCCTGTAGGTATATGTTACTGAATTTCTTTCTGCAATGCTGAAAGTCTGTTCTCTCTCCTCCCAAAAATAAGCCATGAATTCAACAATTAGCCAAAGCACACTAAAGCCACACTTTGCAAGAGCATATTCCCCTGTTACCACAACTACTTGTTGGATTTAGTCCCTTAACTAAAGAGCTGGAGCTCTGCCCTTCAGAGCTAGAAATCTGAGGTGCAGTTCCCAGTGACAGTGCAACAAATAAAGCAGGAAATAAGGATTAGACTTCTTGCCTAAAATGCCTCTAGATTGGTAGACAACTCCTCTCTGACAAGCTTCAGGGAAATTCCAGTGAAAACCTGACTGCTTTGATCTGTGTCCTCAGTGTTCTCCTTGGTTTTGTTGTTAGCAGGAACTGGACTAGCCCTCTTTGTGCCAGGTGAGCTCTTTTGCAGGATTTGACAACAACTGCAGTATAAAATGAGACTTTTCAGTGGAGTTTTACTTGGAGATTTTGTTTCACAGAGAAGCATGAAGGCTTTGAATTACTACATTGAGGTTGCTTGCATAGCTAATAGCATAGGTTCAAGTAAATCAATAATGCATTTAAAAATACTGAAACTATATGGATGCGATTTCGTGATGGAACTGATAACTGGGTAATAAAGATTTAAAAATT